AACATCTTCAAATACCTATTGTTTTTGTTTTTATACGGTATTCAGTCATTATGCTTTGCCATTTTCATTTTTCTGAATATCTTTTTTTTAATTGAACTAAGTAAATATTTTCATACTACAAATGGCCAGTTAACATGTTTCTTCATCAATGATTTATTCAGGGAAAGTATTGTAAACAAGACTAGAAGTAATCTTTTATTGTAAACAAGACCAGAAATAATCCTTACCTAAATAGTCTGTGTTTTCAAATCATACCAAATATTGACATTGGTATCGTCTTTATCCAAAGAGCTTTTTTTTTCACAGAAAATATAAGTGAAATATACATTTTTTAAAGAGATGAGTGGAGTGATGGTTTACCTGAAGCAATGTCTGAGCTGGGGTAGAGCTATACCCCTGTTATCTTGCAATGTTTGAAAGGGACGTAGAGCTGTACCACTATTTTCTTGCAATGTAGGGCACAAGCTGTTTTGTAGGTGATATATTTTGTACAGTGATAAGTTATTATCCTACGATTGATGCTACAGCAGTATGTCACTTCTATAGCTTGCCATGGTAACCATGTTGTTATGGCAACCATTGTATATTACATTTATAGACATCACAATTTCTTTAAAGAAAACAAAAAATAAAGAAACTTATGTAGATATTGTCTTATGTTGTTTCTCTGGGTATTTATGTCACAATTGGCCAGGTGAGTTTACGCCATGGCAAAGCGCTCATCCATCCGTCGGTCCCTCTGCTGACTGGTTTCTGGAGCATATCTCAGGATGGCAGTTTCGAATCCTAACATAAAGTCACTGTGGCTTCTATTTGACCTTGTCCTGAAGTACTAACAGTTTTTGAGAAATATCTCACTATTTCATGAATTGGCATCAAACTTTGTACTTTGGTCGGAAAGGTTGCATGTTGTATACAAAATGGAGTCACATTGTCCTCTATATGACCTTTTACGTTGACCTCAAGACAAAATAAAGTGTACAAATTCTGAAGCATTTCTTGGCTACCGTTTCAGGTATGGATTTAGACTTTGTGCAAGAGTACTCAATGGTCAAACAATAAACTGGGCAATAAAATTGGTTCACTGCAACCTCAATATGACCAAAAGTTTGATATACAGCATAGCTGTAGGTTCCCAGAAGGACATCTTGGCTACCATTTTATGTAGGGTCATCATGGCAGTGTGTTTTCCGATGAAATCAGGTTTATGAAGTAGATGCCCAACCAACTGACCTTGGCTACAACTACCAACCACTATTGAGGAACCAATTTGTGGGGTGCAGAGGTCTATGAAGCCCAGTGCCCTATTTATGAAATCGTTCTCGTGCTCAAACATGGGCAATGTCCTCACACAAACTTTCTTATTACTCACTTAAATCATGTCAAACGATCAAAAAGTCGCATGTAAACATTGGTAACAGTATTGGGGTTGAAGTCTCTTCAATTTTTTCCAAATCATGAACAAAATGAGATCTTATTATTAATTTATAACTGGAACAAGAAATTAGGTTGAGTACAAATTCCATGCTTTAGAACAGCTTTATGAATACAGGCTCAGGCTTTGAGACTTTAATAAAATCTCGGGTTCTTAACTGAGACAATTCTTAACAATTGTTCTCGGTGTTTGTTCTTAAAACTCAAAAACTTTGAAGTTCCTCAGCCATCCAGTGCCTCATTAGATCCAAAGTTCCTCAGCCATCCAGTGCCTCGATAGATCCAAATTTCTCAGCAGTCTGTAAATGAGTCTAAGCAATCCTGTTTATCGTTCGAATTGGTACTCTTTTCTAAATATTCCCACCCTATGGAAGGTTTCAAGGTGATCAAGGGCACTTTATTTTAATTATAATGTGTAGAAACATCCACCTGCCAGAATTTGTTTTATTTTGGTTTTGATTGATGGAGGACATATCTATTTGGATTAGCCCTAATGTCTCGGCAACATTGATGGAGGACATATCTATTTGGAATAGCCATAATGTCTCGGCAACATTGATGGCATGTGGCAAACCTACCATAACCATAGAAAAATACAACACAAGACAAATATACTTCATCTTATAACTTTAAAGATATCAACAGCTGACACAACAGTAGGATCAAACAAGATTGATGTACAAAACAAGTATTATTAACTGGTCTGACAGGACCTGTATTGGGGAGTAACAGTGACGTGTCCATCAATACAGAGTACATTATAAACGTGTTCTGTACAACTGACTTACAAAGGTAATTTCCTGTCGTACACGTACATTAATGCATAGGTATCGTGTTAAATACAGGTCTACTAGAACTCAAAAATGTCAGTACTCCAATGTCATCACAGCTTCCATACAACTTACAGATTATACTGTTTACAACACAAAGTTTGTAAACAATAAATACGGACAGCCTTACACTACAAGTTTACAATGTAAATAAACCTGTTATCCTATTAACAAGGACAGTATGATTGATCAACAAATAAATATGCCTTTTTTCAGAAAGATGAAATTAATAACAAGCAATTGATTTTATTGAACGAGTGATTTTGTGAAATATTCAAATAATAATTGTTAACTGGCCCTTTTTTTCAAATAAAAAAGTTTAGAAGAGAAGCATATTAATATACATCTACAACATCAACAAACACTCCATACTTCATATAGATCCTCACTGACCATAACCTTGACTCCTGCATGACCTTGACCATACTTGTCCTTTTGATTTGCCAGAACATCTCAATAATAAAAGAATATTGTAAAATGCACCAGAAGCTGCTGCTTACACAAATGCAGAATTCTACACACACATTTTGCATCTTGGTCCTTAGTTCTGTTCCTGTCAGGCCGTTGATATATGACAGAACCATTTCACCTCGGCTAGGGATGAGAGCAATTTTCAAAAGTAAATCCTGAAACCTCCGTATTGTCTTATATGCCTTTAAATAATACAGTGTATAGTAAGATTTAGGCGACAAAAACTTAACATCAAACAAACTTTTTTAAACAGCTCTTTTAGTCCTTCCACACACTGCTACCAAATACTCAGTTACAGTTTTTGTGAAAGGGGAGATAACTCTGACAAAATTTAATCTATAGCAATCTTCTGAATTTTATCCTGATTGGAACACCTGTATAAAATGATATATAGTTTATGGAAAATTTCTTTTATAATCGGCAAATAACCACAGAAAAAAAGGAACATTCTAATAAAATTTAAATAGGCAGACAAATCCTATGACTGAAAATATAGACATGTTCAATTTTAAGAATTCAAAATCAAATAATAGCCATGGTTCAGTGGTTTTCCAGAGCGGTTTTATGCTGAATTTTCAGATTTTTTTGCAACTGTCGAAACACACTTGTTTTGAATACTAGTTAACATTATCTAATCTGTCAGTGGTTCAAATCAATTTCTTTCATTATACATTCTGCCTAAATGTATATACTACCAGGTGAAGTAAGTGCTAGACATAACTATTCTGGAGTGCTAAGTCTAAATTGTTTACTTATAACTCTGAGGTTTGCCTCGACAATGTACTCTGAATGGCAGCATGATAAAGATAACAACTCCAGAAGATACTGTTTTAAATCACAGCTAATGTATTGTAAATGATAAACACTTAAACGAAGTACGACAACATCACATAAATATCCAGACAAGCATCAGAGAAATCCATTTACAAAATACTGTAACAAAAAATGATAGCCTGATGGAACAGTTTGTTCATCTCATATACTAAACTGAGTTGTGAAGAAACCTGTTCAGAAATTTTGAGTATGACAATTTCAATGGCTTCAAAATTCTAATTTAGAACCAAAAGTTTCCAAATGATATGAGAGGATTAGCTTGATAATGCTGGGGCCATAACAATAATGTGTACGAAAGATCTGAAGCATGAAGTTTTTAGTGTACTCCCAATGTTACTGGTGGTACAATGAGACAAACTTGTAACATCATCCCCAAAACATCTCAAACATACGTCATCATTTCTACGACTTTCCAATCACTATGGATACTCCACAACCATGTCGTCAATATCAAAGCATTCACTTTTACTCGTAGTTAATTGCTAATTGATGCATGCCAATGGTTCTGCTAGAGTGTACATATATTGCTGCTTATAATTAAAAAGCTTTATGACATTGAATGTCTTTGAATAGAACATACAATAAATAACAGTCACAACGAGGTACGGTTTCTGGTCAGTGTAAGAGTTCGATATTAAAACTCACCAGGCTCTGTCCACTTTAAAACGTAATGAATACGACAAACGTTTTAACCAAACTGGTAAAATTGCAACAGTTACATAAATAGTAAATGCTGAAGTAGAACTGATGAATTGGTACAACACGAGTCGACGACTTCGAGATGAGATTCCTCGTAGTTATAGCGATATTCCTACTCCAATCATTTGTTAAATGTTTGTCATCTATATTTCAGTGATTCCCTTGTGCTTTGTTCCTCATCCAAGCTCTTAAGCTCTCCATCCTGTTCCTGAGACACTTCTCTGTGACTGTTAAGCTAGCACCTGGAAACACAATACACATACAGACATATAGGTACATCTTGTACATCAGTGACTGATTAAAGACTTGTGATCTCTCCAAGAATATGAAAACGTCCAACTCCAACCTACAGTGTCAATCATTGCCAAATATTTTTTAATGTTGTGTCGAAATACTCAACCCACTGCTGATTGTTTTAAACAGGTTTTTTTCTGGATTTAGAGGCAGATAAAGTGCCTCGAAAATTTCCTTTCCAATTGGTATATTTTTAAAATGTGACCCCAAAAAAACATCCGAAAAAGATCTTAAAAATCAATTACAATGTAAAGAATATTTGGAGTAGTTGGACTAGAAAAGCACCCTGTATAATGTCAAGATTGATGGAAGTTCATTTATGTGTAAAAGTTGATTTATAATAATAGTAATTATGACAATGACCTTTTGATCTGGAAAGCAATTCAAAAAAAGAGCTTTTAGCATTAAAGCCCTTTATGAAGTTGGAGCTTGATTGAGCCAAGAAACTCAACTTCTTGTGCAGAAACTGTTTTGCTATTTTCAGTAACAGTGAAGCTTACATATCAATTTTGACTTGCAGAGCATTTCCAGCAAGGAATCCTTGTTAAAAGTGAACATTGGGGAATAAGAATTATCATGCAGATACAAATTGGCAGAGAGATAAATGGACAGGCTTTCTTATAATGACCCCCTGGACTTTTGATGCCTCAGGAATATTAAAGTCCGGAGTGGTTACATATGTGACTCACCTTTTAAAAGTGTTGTTTATAACCTAGCTACTTTGCCTTTTCTTCTTTTTTCTTTGCTGCTTTTTCTTTTGCCTTTGATTTAAAAAAGAGAAAACCATTTTAAAACAAGTTCTATAAATTCTTGTACTGCTCATTTTAGTCAGCTTCAACTAAATGAATTAGAAATGTTATCCAGAGGTTAACTAATACCCCCTGTATAACCACAACACACTGAGGTTAACTAATACCCCCTGTATAACCCCCATACTCAGAGGTTAACTAATACCCCCTGTATAACCCCCATACACTGAGGTTAACTGATACCCCCTGTATAACCCCCATACACAGAGGTTAACTAATACCGCATGTATAACTCCCATACACAGAGGTTAACTAATACCCCATGTATAACCCCCATACACAGAGGTTAACTAAAAAAACCTGTATAACCCCCAAACACTAAGGTTAACTAATACCCTCTGTATAACCCCCATACACAGGTTAACTAATACCCCCTGTATAACCCCCATACACAGAGGTTAACTTATACCCCCTGTATAACCCTGATACACAGAGGTTAACTAATACCCCATGTATAACCCCATACACTTTTAGAGGATCAATTTCAGAAATTTCAGTAGACCTGTGAGAGTATGTTTTTGACTCCTAATAAGGAGCTTTGATTCTTAAATTTTAAAGGACATATTTTGACCCTCGAAAATTCAGGGAAAAAAACTATTTGACCTCTGAAATTGCTAGATTGCAACAGTCAACTGAAAGATCTGAATAACATTAATTAAATTACTCTGATTTAATGCGCAGGAAATGATTCACATGAAGGGAGATAACTATTTATAAACGGATTGAATCAGCATATTGCTACACCTACAACAGTTAATAAACCAGGTGGGATTATTTGAATGCAAAGTTTTGTTGAAATCCATTTTATCCTTCAGGAGAATCAGACCAAACAAGGGTTTGTTAGATAAAGTAAATCAAGTACTATTTAACTATCTTAATAGCATTGAAAACAACATGGTGGTCACACATTCAAAGGTTTATGTGATTTTCAATTAATTATTGGTACAGTATCAAGTTGGTTGGTTGGTTGTACTGGGTTTAATATCTTATCAATAGCTAAGGTCATTTAAGGACGTGCCTCCATGTGCGTTGTGTATGCGTGCATGTGTGCTGGAGACAGGGTTCGCATATTTATTTCCTTGTGATAACGTGGATCTGTTGCTGACTTTATAGTGTTATCTCACTGAAATACCATGCCTAAGGCATGTAGCACTGCATTCCGCCCGGTCACATTATACTGATAACAGGTGAACCAGTTGCCATTACCCTAAACGATAAGCAGGGAAGAACAACTACCATTTTTATGTCCTGGAATGCACATACTGATTCCAGTGTGATCCCCTTACTTTGTTAATGGGATATAATTACAAGAGTTATTCAAAATATTAGGAGGAGACATCTCCTCATAAAAATGAGACAAGAAAAACAATGCACAACAGACTTAGCACTTACCTTCTCTACTAGGGGCACAAGCTGCTTCTGCTCTGCTAATATCTTTAGTAGTTCCATGATAAATGGTAGGTAATTGTGCTTCCTTCTGATATTTTCTGCCTGTTCCATAAGAAATGTGACAGATTACAATTAGCCTACAACCTATTTTCATGTTGATTTTTTTTTAATAATGTGTACATCAAATTTCATCCACAAAAACATAAGATGCTCCATCCCCCCATCCCCTGACAAAAAAAAATAAAAAAAATGCCTGGAATTATTTGCCTTAAGCAACGGTCTATGACATTAATTCGGAGTTCACATACACATACACCTACAGTACAGTACCTTGTATCTCTGTGTTTTTCTCTCCTCCTCTTGAATTAGCTCCTGAAGATGACTTAGCTCTGTTGGAATGGTGTCTGTTTCCATGGCATCATCCTTGAAACAAGCAATACTGGCATTTCTTTAATGTCACCAATTAAACATGTATCACTTTCTGTTATCAATTAGTACAATTATCACTTCCATGCCACTAATTAGCCAAAATAAGTTTACTGTCTCCAATTTTTACTTATTAAAGTTCTGAAATCATTTTCAAAATTGCTGTACTACAGGTTAATCTCTACATACCTGTTGATGTTAAATCAAATTAACATTATACAAAAATGAAAACTTCAGGTTGTTTCAAATTTTAAAGGCTAGTTTCAAGTGAGAAAATAACCTGTAATCTTGAAGTGAGCTCGGCGACCCGTCTTTCATACACACTCTTTCTGTCTGATACTATCGCCATCAGATTGAAGTGGATCTCATCTGTACTGTACCTGAAATGACAATTTAGATCCTTACAATTCTATTGCCTCCAATATTGCAAAACAAATACATTTTATAGTTGGGAAGTTGGTCCTTCAATAGATGTGTTACTGATACTTACTTTTGCATCCTCTTCTCTAGGATGGGCCTGACCAGTGTAAGCCAGTCAGTCTCCCCTGGTATGGCACCTGACAAGCAAACAAATCTGAGCTCAGGGATTTCAAGAATAAACAGAAATTGCCCCAATTGTAAACACAACAGGGGACACACACTATAAAAGTAGACTTCAAGATGTAAACTTGTATGGACAACAATCAATAAAGCACAAACATATCAATAACTGAACCAGTCATAATAGTACCTGGGAATAAATACTAATGTAATAATGTCGCTATCAACGGATTTCAAAGGTCTCATTATGTTTCTTTAAAATTGAATATTTTATGTGCTGTAAATAGTCTTAACTATTTCATTCTTTTCTCTCGAAATTTTAACACTGTTTAACTTTTGATTCTTTACAACATTTGATTGCATATTGCACAATTAATCATCACATCACACACAAACTTTTCACTGCCTGTGCTATATGAACATGTTACTTGTATGCAGTAAGTGGTCAAGCACAGATGATCCTTTACTGACCTAAATCTACTGGCCCATCCTTAAGACCATCCAACTCATACAGGCGTCCATCAATGGGGAGATAGCCTACAAAGTGATACACGTCGTCATCCTTCTTTGCCATCTTCTCATCAAACTCAAACATTTGTTGTCTGTACAGATAAAAAAGTCAGGAGATAAAACACATTAGGTCCACATATCACTACAAGTCACCTAGAATACAGGTCATCATAAGTTTGGTTATTTGAAGACTAACCAGACTTTTGTTACTTAAATCAGTATAAAAGTCTGCCAACAGAAATTGGGTTTTTTTGTGACACAAAATCGAAGATCAGAAAAGTCTTCAGGACACAAATCAAAGATGTGAAACATTACAGAGACAATAATTAAAGGTGAACTTATGATATATAAACATGTGCCAGGTCCCTGATTTTAATTATTCAACACTAAAACAAACAGTCGTCTACTACATCTTTTTAAGACAACATCTTTGGTGATAATTCAGTGACCATTAAATAGAATATCACAAACGACATGCAGAAACTCTTGTGGATTTACCTCTATATTAACACTGTATTCTCTTACCTGGAGAAACTATTGTGGACTTGTTTGATGATGTCCGAGTTACTCAGGGTTAATCCACGCAACTGAAATCAAGTACAAGTTAGTTATTTTATTCCAGCACATCTACTTTTATCCAGAGAAAAACCAAGAGTGGTCTTTACACACCACACCCCTGAGCCCCTGCATGGAGAAACATGTGATGTCAAACCAAGATGGTATTCAGAATGTATTGCATGGTATTGGTGATATGAAAAAACAAAACATCACTAGGGATGAACAGACTAAGGGACTTATTATTACTGTAATAACATGACATGCTGTGAGTTTGACATACATATAAAAAAATTAACAGAAATTGGGCATTTGTATATTTATCAGATCAAAATTTTTGTATGAAATTCTGCCCATATGTAGTATAAGTGTTTGTTATTGCAAAGAGATTTTATGAAATATAAAGGAGTATTTAAAGTTTAACTTACTGCTGGTTCAAATCCTTGGACAAATTCCTTGAATGACTGAAGTGTGTCTCCAATACTGACATCTTTGTGTTCACAATTAAGGAGGATACTGAGGATGGCCTGCGTAGCACATGCATTGTTGATGACCTGCAACATATAAAACATAATACCACTGCTGAACAACTAAGATACCCAGGTCATAGTTCAACCAGTCTCAAAGGTCACAATACAAACAAGCTTACAGGTCACAGTTCAACCAGTCTAAAAGCTCACAGTCTTATACAATGTAGGTCATTGAATGTTATTAATATTTTTTCTGAGTGCTGAAAAAACAGATACTTACTTGTTTGGCAAAGAATATTTTTTCCAGCCTGCTGTCTTGTACAATGGAATCTTGTGGTTCTGATTCAGGTTGCCATTTGAACAAGAATATCAGGCCATGTACGGGTCTGAAAATAAACAAATAAGTCATGTTATACATTCAAGAATATTATTTGTCTTTAATTGAAAAACAATAGTTTCTCAATCCATTAATTAATAGACTCTAAGATGGACTTTAGATATGGCAGAGTGTGTATTACAATTTTATTACGCTTATAGAAGTAAATTCAGCAAAGCAAATCGGAAACATTCAGCTCTCACTAACTTTCAGTTTTCAGTTGGCGACTATGGATGGTCAGTATCCACATTTACTTTAAATACTGCCATAATAAATTGATTATACTGTCATTGACAACATGCTAACTGTTATTGTGGTTAGTTCACTGTACTGAAGTCCTCAACCTTTACCACTTTAAAAATCTAATTGGACCAGAGAAAAATAAATACTTTTGTGTCTAACGAATCTAGCCCTGTCAGTTCCTGGTGATAGAGTAGTAAATCAACTGGACCTTTAATTTAGAGCCACGTTAGAACTGTTCACTTACCATGAAATTTTTGTATAACAATACTTAATACATGAAAGTGTACAACGTCAAAATTGATAATGTGCATTGCAATTAAGATAACGATCAAATTAAATTACGTGTTAATGAACAGTTTATATCAATTTTACTTGATGCTGGCAACAATACATCACAGGACTAAGAAACAGTTATCAGGTTGGGGAAAACCACCAACTTGCGCATAATACGCAAACTCGCCAGTTGGAGTAAGGATTTGTTACTAAAAATAACCCAAATCTCTTTAACAGTAACTTTTGCAAGATATAATTAAAAATCGCATTAATTTACAACAAGGTTAATAATATTTTGCTAAAGATGTTTCCTGAAGGCATTTGCTAGTTAGAAACTTGATGTAACTTTACCGGAAGTATTGCATCTATTTTCGGTACTTTCCCACATGCAAATAAAGTTTTATTTTGCGTTTGTATTATGTTTCATGACTGAAAAAATGCGACTTGGACAAACAATTTGCAAAAGTTAAGATGAAAGTGATTTTGGCTATAGTAACAAATCCATACTCCTATTGGCGTATAATAGGCAAGTTTGCGTATTATAAGCAAGTTAGTGGTTTTCCCCGACCTGGTAATTATACACACTTGAGTTTATCAAAACTGTCCGGATCCATACTCCATATTTCTTCTACTTGAATACCACTACACCCTAAAAGAAAAAATGAAAAGAATTCATCGTACCTATTTAAAGCTGTTAAAAGATGACAATGTACGTAAGCATGGTTAGTTTTTTCATTGTAAGAACAAGACAATCACTGAATCAGGTCAACAAAGCTCTTCTTTTTTTCTCCTTCTAAATATAGCATTTTAAATCTTAAACGAGATTTATTTATTTACACAGAGTTGGTTTTATCGTACTTATTGTGCCGAGATAAAGCTCGTGCGTTTTCCGATGATTAAAAGGTCCGGCACTTTTTGTCCATATTATCCTGTTGAATTGTGATACGCTTACAGCATTTAACCACAAATACTAAAAATATATAAACTCAATAGTTATCTTACCAAATCCTTTGATAAGTTCTGTGAATACACCAGGATCACTTTCAATCAAACACCAATCTCCAGCACTTGTCGCCATTTTTGCAATTTATACCGGAAGCCGCACATGGACCAGCAGAAGAGGCGTAAGTAATGGATAAATGTTTATTATACTCTCCTTTTCTACTTATTTTTATGTTAAATATTTTTAAGAAAATCGTAACTACTCAATAATTAGTCAAATAAGAATAATGTTAAAGATTTTATCGAAATATATCAAATTACATTATTGCCATAGTTATCGATTAGTTTCTCCTCACAGGAAGTATAAGGTGTGAACTAATAAAGTGAATAGGAAAAGGATGGCGGATTCAGAAGAACAGCCTCATAACCCAAACAAAGTTTATCCAGCTGTTGCGATGGTCTGTACGAAAGATGTATTTTGGGAAGTACATATTCTTGTGGGGTTATGTATTTAAATAGGCCATACAATATAATGATCATCCTCCAAAAGTTTGACATGTCAGTAATGCTCACAATGTCACTGACTTCTTCATAAGTGACTTCTTCATTAGCTAATTAATTAATCAGTTCACTTACACTCTAATTAATAAAGATCAAAACATTCTTTAAGAGTAATTCTTGCTGGGTGACAAACAGTATTTTTTTCAATAGTAGGACTGTAAAAGAATTAATATTTTCCAATGATTTGTATTTCACATGACCCCATGCATTAATTCCCCAAAAATACAAATTAAATGACTGAGACTGGGGGGTGTTATGATAATGCATTTAAATTCTTTTGTGCAGAGCAATTAAATATTGCTTTAAGCCAACAGATAAACAAAAGAGTAGCTTTATTAACAATACAATAGAAGAATAATTATTTTTACTTGGTGAAATAATTCAGCATTAAATCTTAGTTCATAATCATCTGATAAATCAACACTGCATATTTTTTAACAGGCTGCATATAACAGTTTGGTGTGTGTTGATGTACTGGTTATAATGCTATCAATTGCATCTCCCTGGCAGCAGTTTGGTGTTGTTTACCTTGATTGTTCTAGTCTACCAAGATGCAGAAATGGGTACAAGCTGCTAGAATAGTATTCCTGTGAAAGAATGGTATTCTGTCAGGTTTCTGCAAGCTGTATGCCCCAGTTGAAGATTCAGCCCTCAACCATCAGGCATGAAAAGATTTTTTTGCAGAAAGTTCTATTATTCAGTATATAGTTAATACTCAATGTGAAGTACAGATTAAATGCACTCTTACCTGAAAACTTGGGATTTATTTTCAGTATGGTCCATGTACTGTTAGAGGCCTCAAGCAAGGAGAGACAAAGTTATGGTGTGCCTGTGGTTTGAGTAAGAAACAGCCTTGGTGTGATGGTAGGTACAATGTACAATGTACCTCATTGTGTTAAGTTTTAACAGGTGTGGTTAGGTTAGTGATCAGTGGATGGGCTGGAGAAGAATGATCAGGTTCAGGTTAATTAAGATAGTGATAAACAGGTGGGCTGGGGTTGGAAAAGACAAATTCTGATTAAAACGCTGATGAGCGGTTTGGTTGGAGTAAGGGTGCTGGTTGAGGTATCCATTATTCTACTTCCGTAACTTTCTAGTTCTGTGCTCAGGAGAATAAAAGAAAATACCCAACAGCCAAGTCAGTAACAAGTGACTCCATAGTTCTCCTGTGTGACTTTGCACTATTAGGGGTAAATGTGTGTGTTGAAATGTCGGTACATGTGTGGTTGAAGTAGGGGTAAATGTTTGAGTAGTTGAGACAGAGAAGGGAATTTATTGAATCAAGTTTGAGCCAAGATTATACTAGGATAGGGAGCTGGAGTCAAGGTTGAGGGTAGGAAGTTTGAGTAAAGATGAAATGGTATGGACATAGAATAAAGTTGAAAATGTGTAGGGATTTGAGGTAAAGGTAAATGATTATAGAGTATCATGAATTGGTATTGGGCGGAGTAGGGTTGCATTGTACGTAGTTTGGAATGTATAAGAATGAAGATCTTCAAAAACATATGATTCCTTGGAACAGTTGTGTGGTTTTAGTAAATATTTTACAGACCCGATTCAATTGTTCATTTATTTTTATTTTATTTGATGAGTAATGTGTTTTCTACAGGACTTTTATTACTCGTCAGCCTGTAAACTATCCATACTGTTTGTAGGGTCTCACAAAGGTACTGGAATCAAGCCACTGAAGTGGAAAGTGAACAAGTCACAGAGTCTGTTTGCCATCTGTGCCTGTAAATATACCAAAGATGCCCCCTTCTGTGATGCCACTCACACCAACCTGCCCTGTGAGGTCGAGGCCAGACAGGATAACTGTACCTCTGTTCACCTCTCTGACAATAAACTTTGTACAGGCTGTGGATGGGTGCCAGATTTCTGATATCCCACCCACACTTCACAAAAAAGCAAATTGTGTTTTGGCTGTGGGTTTGTGCATGACTTCTGAAATACATGTACAAAATGTACTACTTCATTGACAAGAAGCTGTGTAAGCTGTGGATGGATGCCATGAGTTCTGATAAACCACCCATGTTTCACCAAAAGCAAATTGTGATCTGTGGGTTTGTGCCTCCACTCACCAACAACAAATGTTTATTAGCTGTGAGTGGGTGCCTGACTTCTGACATACTTCCTACACTTCACCAACGGAAATTATTACCCAATAGTCTATATAAATTATAATTAGTCATTTTTGACTGTTTCTGGCCTTTTGTCCAATTTCAGCTGTAGGGGTGAAACAGACAAAACTGTTTTTCCCGGTCAGAGCGAACTGTTACCCAGCGCAAATTTGATGCGCAGAAATCCCCCCTCGAGAGCCCCGTTCAAGTGTTTCGGTGACCGCCACTCAGTGTTGAAGCAATGGCAACATTGCATGCAGCATTGATACTAATTTTTATTTGGTAATAAAACAATTGTTTCATGGTTATTTGGGGAACAGTCAAAACTATCATCCCTTGGTAGGGGGAAGCCCTGTGGAACTGTTTGCCCTTGGCCTAGCGGCCTCGGGCAAACAGTTCCCCAGGGCTTCTCCCTACCTCGGGATGATAGTTTTAACTGTTCCCCAAATAGCCATGAAACAATTGTATACTGTGTAGTTTTTGTGGATAGATAACCGACTTCTGTATTAACTGGCTGTGGATTGGTGCCTGATTTCCGACATAATACCCGCATCTTCTAGACAAAAAACAGCTATGATCTTTGGTTGGGTGCATGACGTCAGGCATATATGATAATGCCTATAAAAAAAACTGTTCTTGTGGATAGGTGCCCCTCTTCTGACATACCTGACCAAACAAACAGTTCAGACTGGATGGGTGCCTGACAAATGTTTTAGCATTCAAACCAATCTGTTCTATGAGGTCCTGGATGCCATCACCTCACCAACAACAAACCTCTGTCAGTACTCTTAGGCCTAAAATCCGTGAATAAAACCAAAATTAAAGACAATTTAATTTCTCAAAACAGTCTGATATTGACGGTAACAAATCCTCCTGATTTGATTACTTTAGATTACATCACACTGGTATGTGCTACTTCAGACAGTACCTGTTTGGATACCTGTAGCTTTCAATCCCCTTTATCTTATTGTGAAGTGGAAACAAGTAGAATAGAAGAAGATATATGGACAATGGTTGATCATTTAAAGTCCAAAACTGGGTGTTACCTTCTGTAATGAACATCATGCTCCAGAGATGTAGTGGGGAAATAGAAGAGATGCTTCAATACAAAGCTTACAATGATAGCCTTGTTGTCACTGTAACTAGGAGTGAATAGACGCTGGCATCCAGATTCCTCAGTGTCACTAACTAGGAGTGAATAGATGCTGGCATCCAGATTCCTCAGTGTCACTGTTACTAGGAGTGAAAAGATGCTGGCATCCAGATTCCTCAGTGTCACTTTAACTAGGAGTGAACAGATACTGGCATCCAGATTCCTCAGTGTCACTAACTAGGAGTGAACAGATGCTGGTATCCAGATTCCTCAGTGTCACTAACTAGGAGTGAAAAGATGCTGGCATCCAGATTCCTCAGTGTCACTGTAACTAGAAGTGAACAGATGCTGGCATCCAGATTCCTCAGTGTCACTAACTAGGAGTCAATAGATGCTGGCATCCAGATTCCTCAGTGTCACTAACTAGGAGTCAATAGATGCTGGCATCCAGATTCCTCAGTGTCACTGTAACTAGAAGTGAACAGATGCTGGCATCCAGATTCCTCAGTGTCACTAACGAGGAGTGCATGAATAGATGCTGGCATCCAGATTCCTCAGTGTTACCTTCTGTAATGAACATCATGCTCCAGAGATGTAGTGGGGAAATAGAAGAGCTGCTTCAATACAAAGCTTACAATGATAGTCTTGTTCTCACTGTAACTAGGAGTGAATAGATGCTGGCATTCAGATTCCTCAGTGTCACTGTAACTAGGAGTGAATAGATGCTGGCATACAGATTCCTCAGTGTCACTGTTACTAGGAGTGAAAAGATGCTGGCATCCAGATTCCTCAGTGTCACTTTAACTAGGAGTGAACAGATACTGGCATCCAGATTCCTCAGTGTCACTAACTAGGAGTGAACAGATGCTGGTATCCAGATTCCTCAGTGTCACTAACTAGGAGTGCATGAATAGATGCTGGCATCCAGATTTCTCAGTGTCACTAACTAGGAGTGAATAGATGCTGGCATCCAGATTCCTCAGTGGCACTGTAACTAGGAGTGAATAGATGCTGGCATCCAGATTCCTCAGTGGCACTGTAACTAGGAGTGAATAGATGCTGGCATCCAGATTCCTCAGTCAACATGAGATACTGAACAAAAGTATAATATATACGTCTGTGGATAGATATGATATTAGAGGTTGTTAGAGTACTTGTGTGAAAATACATTACCCCCTGATGGCCCGCGGTACTACTAGCTAGTCTGTCAGACACTGTGAAACAGATCTGAATCTTAGATGAGTAGTTAGTTGTTTATCTAGTCTAACTGTTTTATTACACTGTGAATCAGATCTGAAGATAGGACGATAAGTGTGTTGTTTATAATGTTTTGTGCTATGCATACTGTTGTTTCTCTATTTAGCATACCTCTTCCTTTTTTTTACATGGATTAAAATTGTATCAGTAGATTACATTTGCATGGGTTGTCATATGTTTGGATAATATCACACCAAAAATACCTACTAAAAGGTAGAGTTTCAGGAACTGCAACATTATGCAATATGTCCTGACTTGGTTAGATAGCGCAAAGTAACCTTCCCCCATACCTCATAGTTGACAAGTGACATTGACAGGTTTTCTTAAACCACCCAATACTAATACCTTTATTTTTTTGTTGTTTATTAAAGAAGATGCCAAAACGAAACCATTGCATGGTGTAAGTAGTCCCTAAACTGGTCTACACGTTTTCTCTTATGCCCATCCTTGATACTCCAGTCCAGGGGCCAGACTTACATACACTCTCTGCTGCGCTAGTGAGTATAACCCCTGGAGTAGCGAACTTTTTTTTACCCTACCACAATTTTTTAGTAAAAAAGACTGGAACGTAGAGTATCGGAGCGGAATTAAAGATCTGGTTTTAATCGGATTGGATGGTCCTTAATGTCTTGATTGTCTTGAGGGACCATCGAAACACACACAAAACGACTGGAAATACGATCTAAGGAAGCACCTAACACAAAGCCAAAGTAAATATTTACTGCACCGTATGGCCATTTCATCCTTTAATGATTCATCACTGTTACTAAAGATCAAACAACTGAAATTCAAGGTCTAAAGAATTCCGAAATATATATGTAAAAAGACAATACATTGGTAAGGTAGCTGTACAACTCTGTATAAGGTCACCAACAATCTCTTAGGAATTTCTCAAACTTTCGCTAGAGATATTGTAAAAGGAGTTGCCTCTTCTATTATTATATAAACTTATTGACAAATAGTTTGATTTCGACATAGATATGCCACACAATAGATGAAATTTATATAACATGTTTAACAACATGGAACTTGACACTCTTGTTATGAAATGGGATGCACATAAATTGCAAACGAAATGGCCATATTTTACATTAAGTAGTGTTCCAGGCCTCACAGAGAAATGGGTGGTGCGCCACAAGACACTTCTATATTGCATCCCTCAAGGGTGCAAAACACGAAAGAAATAACAGCATGCAAGTCACTGTTAATGCTGTCTCTACGTTGGAAGGAATTGGGTTCCATATTTCGCTGTCAGTATCAACATGGAATGCGACACAAAGACCTACACACACGGATCAAACATTGTAAAGCAGATGGAAAGATGCCATTGTGGTTGCAAATGTTGACACAGACATGGACAGGGGAAAGTATTCCGGAAGGTTAATGAAATAGACGAACGGCCAATTTAGTACCACAAGTTTACCGTTACCAAAATATTGGAGGAGAACTGTAATTGTTGAATGTATACGGGCTATAGGCCAATATTCCCTTCCTGCTGTGGAGCAAGACTGGCTGCAATGAGGCTGCAAGATGCGGCCATGAATTTTGTCGTCGTTTTTCTGTTTTTCTTTAAATTTGGAAACCGTTTGATCCACGGTGATTTTGATCGACGGTGAAGTCATGGATGAAGGTGTTGGTGATCTTGACGTTGAAGGCCCATGAACCCACTTTTTTGAGAGTGAGAGAGAGATTGCGCTAACCGTTAATTGGATGCTGATATTTCTTTGACGTTTGCGGGCTCTTGGGCGATGCCTTATAAAAATGCCTTGCGGCGGAGCATGTAGCTGTGAGGCCTGAAACAAAACTAACGTAAAATATTGACATTTTATTTGCATTAACTGTTTGCTGGATATCCTGTTTCAAAATGAATGTGTCCGGAAATATGTTTACACACATGTTGATTACTTTATGTAAAACTACATCTATTGACAGAAGATTATGCCAACAACATGAGTGGATACATTGTAAATAAGCATGAGAATACGTTCATTTCGGAACATGTTACAATATTTCCAGCAAAGGTATGTCAAGTATTCTGCTAAGGAGGGTACTTTGCGCTACCTTATTTAGCGAGGAAACAACGCATAATGTTGCACATCCTAAACTACTTCCTTCAGAAAGGTCATTTTGAAGTCATTTCTTTGCGTCAATGTTCCCGCCTATGACAAACGTTCTTCACTCAGTAATAGTGTATGGTAACTTGAGAGAAGTTAGATGCAAGATTATATAACTAAATTAGTATACCAAACCTTAGTTTTATTGACTGTTTAAATGAGTTGTACGTCTGTAGCACCTTGTGAATTATTTCCTTGGATTTGGCGAAGCACGTAGTAAAAAAGCATTGCAAAATTTTGATTGTACGATCAATGGTTAAATATTTCTAATAATAATTACTTTTAATTAGATAGACAATCTTAGTCTCTTAGGTGGTAATTTCACATATATATATATATATATCCATTTTTCGTACTTTTTTATTGACGTTGTAGCGGTTGAAATGAAATCTCTAGCTACAAATAAAAGTATATCCGAGATGAAGGCGACGGGATTTAGATACCATTAGATATCAGTGCTTCTGCTTCTCCCACCAAGTAAACACCATACTCACGAACGTTCCTTTAACCCTGGGAATTTCCTAACCTAACTTTGTTTTTCCATTAGAAGTCATTATTGGAGTTGAGGGAAGCTCGTAGAACATTGCTAATGCTTTCCAGTGACTGGTTAAGAAATGTTCTTATGTTAGGAAACGTTCATGAAACTTTGTTTAAGACCTCACATTTTGTTATATTAGAACCTTGCCGATACACTTACATGACTCAGAGTTTGTACTTCAGCAGACCGCCAATGAAAGGTTAAAAGCGTGTCATGTGAGGTCTTGAATATATTCAAGTAAATAACCTGTTGCAGCCCAAAAGTTGTTTTGTAGCTTTATAAAGGGTTTTATAGG